TTATTGCACACTTTGCATTACTTCCTGTGGAAGTCTCCTGTGGAAGAGGAGTGAAGAATGTGTTATTGGAGTTGTTACTAAGACAGCTGTCATGGGAACTGAAAGCAAACTGGCCTTGGGACTGTTCAGAATCTTTGCTGAGGAGAAGATGTTCATAATCTGCTTATTTTTTTCTCCCCTTTGATGGAAAGTAAGAACAAACCAGATAAAAGCCTGGACTCTTGTCTGCATCTTTTCACTTCTTACCACATTTAAAAATAATCCTTCATAAACTTCATTATATATATAAATTTCTTCATAACCTAGTATGTCCCTATAGGTCTCCATGATGATCAATCGGAGGGTCAGGTAATCTCAACAAATACTTGGGGGTGCAGCTGGAAAATAAAATGAATGCAAAGATAAAGGTTGTCTAGCATGTAGCCATTGGATCATTTAATGAGGTTTATTTCCAGGCCTGAACCCACCTAACAATCTGTTACACAAAAAAACCTAACCAACTTGTGGGAACTCACGCTTACTGGAAAAAAAACATTAACTGAACTTGGCAGCAGCTTCTCATTTAGGAACAACCAAAAATGAGGCACAAGCTTTGCACTCTTTTACCTCATATATTCCCTTCAAAAGAAACCCAGAGAATGTCAACAGTGCTTTGTCAATAGATGCTGGTCCACTGTGACCTGAATTCATTGGGTTTTCAATAAGCTCAGTGTGGGCAGTGGGGAAGCAGTTCTCAGTGCAGACAGAACTAGAACTGCTCAGGTCCTTGGCCACGCTTCCTGGAGTCTGACATTTCAGGAATTATAATGCCAAAATTTCAGAAACTGTAATGGGGAACAAGCTGCCTATTTAGTCATGCACAATGAAAAAGAAGCTATTGTCAATACACCATATGGTTGTTTTTCCTCCTACAGCTCTTCCAATTGACAAAGAAAATCCCCCTCTTGACTGTCCTAGATGAGGGCAAATCTCATTAAATCTATACAGCACAGCTAAGAACATGGCATCTTTTAACTACTATACTGAAAGTCCTTTCTTTTAGTTGCTATATCAAATGCAGAGTCTGTCAGTTATTGAGAAGACAGAGTTGGCTACTACTTCCCACTTAGTAAACTGGAAAGTAGCCCCAGAGTAAAACTGCAAACAAACCAGCAAAGATGCTGCAAAACTCTTCCAGCTATGTCTTGTCAAACCTGGATGAAGCTTTCTATATGGAGAAACAGGGAGTTCAGGTCTGTCTCTAGTTGAGACTATTGATTTTACATGACGTTTTTATGGCACAAGATTCCATGTTTCCCAGTTCCAGGATAGTCTGTCTTAGGAAGTTTTCTGTTAACTAAAAATTGGCTGACACCAAGCCTGTTAAGCAAAAAACACTTTATAACTATAGGACTTGGAATTCATAAATGTTTTACATAAAGTTGCAATGTTATTAAAGTAGAACAGGAAAATTAAATGGGTCTTCTCTCTGAAACAGGAAAGGCAGGCTTGAGGAGGATGAAACAGTTTGGTCAGGGGTCAGTAAGGTACAGGAACTGTTAGAGAGAAGAAAACAGAAACTGGGTTCTGCTACTGACCTGCTGAGCAATTGAGATCCTTTCATCACCTCCTCTGCCTTAGTAATTCCTGTAAATTGTTAGTAATGTTATCCTCTTAATAAAGCAAATTAAGAATGAGTGCTGGATCAGAGCAGATCTTAATCCTGTAACTTAAAGGCTTCATTTTGATTTAGGTCTTATGCTTAATTGTGAGGTCTGACTGAAGATACTGTAGTTAGGGTGGCTATAAAAGCTCTCTTGCTTCAGTAATGCCTAAAGTTACCAAGTTCCATAGGTCTTTCAATTTCCCCACCTTCTACATTTGCATCTGCTTTTTTCATATTTGTATTTCTGCCCCAGGCTGTCTTGATGAGGGCTTTGCATCCATGTCATGCTTCCTCCAATATTTCCTCACCCAGACTCTAAAAGGGATTAAGTTTGTAAACATTCTCAGGCGATGCTCATCGGTATTTTACATGGTGCCCAGGCTCCAAAAATTCAATATGCTGACTGTCAGGACACTCCCAGGAAAACCAGAGAACTAAGGGGTTTCACCCCACCTCTGGAGGAAAGGGGAGCCAGATTGGTTGGCATCTGCAAAGTGTGAGTAAGCTTCTGCATAAAAGGGAAGAAACGGCTGACATATACCTTCCCATCCTTTGGGGGGAGGTGAGGAGAGAAATATAAAGGAAGGAGCTCAGAGATCCAGCTATAGAAGAGAGTTTGGTACTGTCAAAAAGACACCTTGCTACCCCACCTAGCTGAGAGTTTAGTAAGGCACCATGCTCTGCAGGCAAGAGGGTTTGGAAACACCCCTAGCAGAAGGCAAAATCCCAACCAGGAGGCAAAGGCTCTCTAATGTGTACTCCAAGCTGGCAGTTGTTCTGGTTCCTTCCACAGAAGACAATTCTTCCTGTGTAAGCTGAGTATGTTCATGGTGGTTGGGTTTGGGTGGAGCGGTGCTGAGTAAGCTGAAAGTTATGGATACCACTGAGGTATCTACCTTTCCCCATGCATTGCAGGTGATTGTGGGAGCATGGCACACCAAGGCTATGTGCCGTGGCAAACAGGAACCTAAAGATTGTATGTTGCCACACTTAATTATTAGTCATCTAAATTCCTTTTGGCTCTAGGTCTGTATAGTTAGGAAGCAGCAAATGGTAAGTGTAAAAAAATAAAACAAAATCAGGGGTTTAAGCTTAAATATATAAATAACATGGAAAAAACCACCTGACTGATCCAAGACACTGAAGAAATTATGATTGAGGTATCGCTTTGGCATGGAATTGCTCCAGCATGGATCCCCAGGGTGATGGTCTCTGAGCCCATGTCGAGCTATGGACAGGAAAGGATTTGGGGAACAGAAATCTCCCAGGATGGAAATGGTCTTCCTATTCAATCTGCACAATACCCTGTTTCTAGGTTATGCAGACACACATACTTGTTCTGGCTGGTTTTTGGTGTGTTGGTTTTTTTTCCCCTAATCACAGCCAAAATCTGGATTTTAAGACTAAGAATGAAAATCTCTCTATCCTTTTCCACACCCCCCGACACCCCCCCCCCCAAAAAAAAAAAACCAAACAAAAAAACCCCACCCTACAAACTAGGGTTCTGAGTGAGAGCTGCAAAAGCTGGGTTCTTACAGCACTCCTTACCTGGAACAGTTGTTGTTTGTGCTTGGCAGCCTACTGAAAACACCACAATAGTTCGGTCTGGTCTGCCTCCAGCACCATCCTACTGGACAAGGCATGAATCCCAGCATAAACTTCTTGCTTAAGAGAAGAGCATGGAAAGTCTTTTCACGAATCATATTTTGTTAAATTAACTGGGCCCAAGTAAATCTTAGTGGAATTGTTTCATCTGAAAATGGAGGCCAAATCTGTTTCCCAAAGATGTTTGATCCCACAGCCCTTTTCTTGGAAGCTGTTCAGCTCAGACTATTTCGTCTCACCTGCTGTTGCAAGCTGCCACCCCCATGCCTCTGTTTTGATAGTAAAGCCTCCCCTAATCCCTGAGGATCATGCAACAGGAAAGGAATACAACTGTGAATTCTCTGAGCCCCTGTCACTGCCGCCCTCCTCTTTGTCTCACAGACCTGACACAGTAATGATTCTTTTATTTCAATGGGGCACTACCAATGGCTGCCAAGTAGACGCTGTGAGGGAAGACACCATTTGGATCTCCTCCAATACAGGACCTATATTTGTTAGGAATGTCCTTTTTGTGACCATTACTCGAACATTCCCAGGCTCTCTCCTGCCCTATATATTTTCCATTGAGTGGGTTGTTAACTGCTTTGTCCTGTGCCTCTCTAAACTCATCCTCTGCCTTTTCTGACCAAACAGCCAGACGCCGCTTCAAGTGGGGATGTCGCAGGCAGCAGCTCGGGTCCAGGCTGTGTGATTTACTTAATTTCACAGCTCGACTGGATGCCATTGCCGGCACAGCAGAAGAGCCGTCCCCTACGGGCCGTTGCCCATGACTATGTAAATACAATGTGCTCTTGCGACCAGCCAGGCGAGGAGATGTGGGAGGCCAGCAGCTCCTGCAGAGCTGGCAGGCACTTCATCTGCGGGAGTGCATTCATGGAGGAGGAGGAAGAAGGAACAAGGGGCAGAGACAGAGACTTTGTCATCTCTGTGTGCCTATAAATTGTTAGTCTGAGTGACCTTTTTTTGTCTTGATGAAGGATCAGGGTCAACTGAAGTATACTCTTTTCACAGAATTTCAAACATTTTTCTCTTGCTCCAATGGCTGAAAACGTGCTTTAATATACAGCACAATCCTGCTTTTTGCTAAGTAGCCCTATCTCCCGACTTTGCACCTCAGGAGACAGCGACTGTTACAGACTAGCAATAAAACCCAAGAAGCGCCAATGCCCACCATCGCATGAAGCAGTAACTCGTGCCCCGTTCTTGGAGGCAGGGCCGCCGGTGAGCCCGCACATCGCAGCCCTCCCTCATACCCCTCTCGTCCCCGTGCCCTCTGCAGGACTGGAAAACGCCGACTCCACCGCGCCCAGGCGGGCCGGCCCTCTGGGCCCCAGCTGCGGCAGGTGCGGGCGTGGCGGCGACTCCCGCTTAGGCGGCCATGTTGCGGTGTGCAGGTGGCGGGGCTTAGCACTACGGGTGAGGGTCGTGCTGTGGAGGGCGCAGGGAGGAGACGACGGAAGACGGACAGCTCCGCCGCCGCTCAGCTGTGCCTGGAGGTTACCGGCCCGGCGCCGCCCTCCGACACCTGTTGCCTACAGTCCGCGGGCGCCCGCCTCTCGCTCTGCAGAGACTGAGCACTCCGGAATGCGGGTTCCCCCTGCGCCTTGGGGACATCGAGGCGAGGCCGCCGGGGGGTGTCTGCTGGCTGGGCGAGGCCGGTGCCGCGCTCGGAAAGCGCCAGGGGGAGCGGCGGGTAATGGCCGGCGGCGTTGAGTCACCGCCACGGCCCCACCTGCGTACTTAACCGCCGCCGGGCGGCTGGCGCCGCACTCGTGGGTTGTGCTGCCGCTGTGGCCCAGAGCGGCTCCTTCCTCACTCCTCTCCTCCTCACGGGGCACTCGGCTGCGGCGAGGCAGCCGCTGCATGAACTTTTGGCTCAGGAGTAGAAGCACCAGCAGCCTTCAAAATGCCGAAGCCGGTAAGCGGGGCACGGGCGAAGGAAGGGAGGGAGGCAAGCAGGCACGCACGCACTCTGCGGGGCCGTTTAGGGGCTGCCCGAGCCTGGGCGCCTGGCGGAGCTGTCATCTGGGGCTGCGGCATCGCGCTTTCGCCGGGGTCCTGCCGCTTCCACTGAGACGGACTGAGTCTAAGTCCCCGAGCTCCCGGTACTGGGACGGGGCTTTTAGGCTCGCAGAAGTTCTCCGCGGTACGAGGAGGGAGCTGCGAGCACCCCCCGCGCCTTACCCGGTCGCTCCAGACCCAGCCAAGCTTTGGGCGGGAGGAGCAGTTGGAGCGGCTCGCTTAAGGCGCCGAGCTGTAACGGGCGGGCGCCAGGCTGCTGGCGGGACAGCGGCGCCTCGGGTGGGCTGGCGCGCCGCGCCTCCCCTTCCCTTCCCGTCCCAGCGCCCCGCGGGGAGAGCGGGAAGGAACGTGGGGAGCAGTGCTGGAGAGGGGGAGCGGTGGATGGCTCCGGCTTCTGAAGTACTCCATGATGGGAGCATACACACCTCCCGAGCAACTCCTGAAAGAATTGCTTCTAACACACTCCCACTTATGGGAGAGATGGCAAAACTAATCTGACTTCCATTTACTATTTGCATGGACCGTGTATTTATGTACAGGAAACATTTATGTGTCTGTAAACGCAGGAGAAACTTTTTTTCCCCCTCCTTGCTTTGTGATCTAAAAGCTAAATATAGGGACTGTTAATGCAGTTCTCCCCAGTGCTCTTTACCAGCTGTTATCAAAACCCCGTTTCTTCTGTTTGTGTATGGGGGTGTTTTGGTTGGGGTTTTGGTTGTTTCTTTTTTTTTTTTCTAATTTAAAAACTCGGCTGTCCTTCCCTCCTTTTTCTTGACACACACCACTCCCTTCTTCCCCCCCCCCCCCCCTTCCCGATCATCTAGTGAGGCTTTTTACTTGTTTTGTTTTAAAGTCTGATGCTCCTCTGTCGGTTAGAAACGATAATTCCCTTGGGCAACCAACTGCCTGATACAAAGCTCTGAGCCGTCATTGGAGCAGACCCACTTTTGAACTCCGAAGAGCGTAATCAGAACAGGTTGTTGTTGCCATCTATTTTCGATAGAGTCAATATTTCTTAAAATGCAGTGCAGTTAAGGACTTGAGTAAGTATTAGCTACACCTTGTGAAATAAGAGTTAACAAGCTTATCTGAAGGGTAATAAGCAATTGATGTTTTACCACCATAACATTATAGTTAACTTACACCCCCCTCCCACACCCCCCCCTCGCAGAAGGAGTGCTTGGGTTAACATTGCAGTTTCTGTAAGCCTACTGCAAATATAAGGAAAAAAAAAAAAGAATGCTCAATCATTTTAAGAACTGTTCAGTCTTAAGGTGCATTTCATTAGTAGGAGGTGATTTATTACTGCATATAAAAATACATAGAGAAGGGACCCTTCTGCAGCTGGAGGAGCAAATGGTTTACAAAGCATGGATATAAAAGGTTGTGTGTGAATAGTCTTTCTCTGCCTTATTATCCATTTGCTAATTGTGGAGTGCTTTGTTGAAATACCCTGGTCAGAATAATCTGAAATCCTGGTTTAGGCGTAAGTCTCACTGGAAGCCATGGATAGGTATGGAGAAGCTCTTTCACCTTGTGGAAAACAAACGGCTGTGTTCATCCTTTTACCTGACATGGCTATGTTCATATTCTCTCTTAGATGGTGATTTTTGTTTATTTCTTGGATGAATAGCCAAGGTTGGTGGTGTAAACCACCTTCTGTTGGGGAAGGACAGGTGTACTTGATAATGGTTTGTGAGACATGACCTACTAGCTGGGATTCATGGACCAGACTGTGTCAATAGTTTGTACAATATAAGCATCTTTTTTTTTTTTTTTTTTAAATTTACTGTTGCATAGGGCTAGTTGCTACCTCACTTTATACAGAAAGGAGTTTTGCACAGGTTATTTTAATAAAGCACACTGCATCCGACTGAGACTGGATTTGGATCCTTCCCAGCCCAGCTCATTTGGTCTTAATACAGCTAAATAGGATTCCTGTCAGTTTGTAGAGAGCAGGGGGAGAGGATGTAAAGCTGTTGCTCCAGAGGCAGAACTGTGCTCAGGACAAATAAAACAACAGCCTTTGGCATGTGTGAGGAATGATGGCATGAACTCAGTGAAGCAGTTTTAGCTTCTGATGAGTATTTGACATGGGTACTAAATATTTATTGCCTATGCTTGTTTGCATGTGTCTTGTCTGCATGGCATAAGTAAATATGATGTTCCTTGGCAGTCTTCATGCTGCTGTGGGTTAAGTTTGACACATCGGTCATCCGTTCTTTACAAGTGAAGATTAAGATGACAGCAGTATTTTGGCAGCTCTCCCCCAGCCCCCAAACTACTAAGTTAAACCTTTATATGAAACTTTTAACAAAAACTGTGCATGAGTGCACAAAGCTTATAGATAATGTTTGTAATTCGTTCTTTCACAGTAAACAGGTAGTAAGTGTATTAGCACTGGAAAGTTAGTGATTTTGTTCTAATTGTATACCAAAGTGAAGTATAGGAAGTCAGCAGTATTGCAGATTCTGTGGCAGCATTTAATCACAATTAGTTGGATCTGATGCATGTTTACAATGCTCGAATTTTAATAACAGTCCAGAAAATAATCGTGAAATAAATACATTTGTTAATATAGACAAGTGTTAATCTATAATTTCATGCAGGCATTCTACCACATGTAACAGTTACAAAATAATGAGATGTCTCTGAAGTAAGATACAAGTATGTAACTGGTACCCAGTTTGTGGAGGGGTTGTGGCTGGGAGGGAGCTCACCAACAGTTCAGATACATAATTTCTATCTAGTCTGTACAGAGGTTCCTTGGGCTTTACAGCTGGTGAATTGCTACATAAGGAAATGCAAGAGATGTCATCTTGTCCAAATCTTGCTGCGTTACCTGGGAAGAAGTGAAACAGTGAATAAACTTAGCCTGGCATCTCTTCATTACTGGAGTGTCTGTGTTGTCTGCAATTTTCATAGATGCATGTTACTAGCTTATTTCTGTTTGACTCATTGAATGGATGGTGTTCCAGCAGAATTATATCCTTCTGCAAAACAAGCCAATCTTATAAATTGTGTCTACAACAGCATGGCTGTGGGCTAATGAACAGTACTTACTGAAAGAGAAGGAAACATGATCTCTAGTCTATAGGCCTGTTCATTTGATCTCACCTAGCTGCATTCTGCTACATTAGTGAAGGTGGGGGTTTTTTTGGTTGAGGTTTGGGGTTGTTTTTTTTGTTTTCTCTAGAAGAAAAATCTTAAAGTTTCATGATAAATGAAGTCAGCTTTTCAGTAGAGTGGTGTAGTGTCACACAAGAACTTCTAGTACTTAGGTGCATGTGTGTAAAACTCTGTAGAGAGGACAGCAGTAAATGCAGTCTGGTGCGAAAGAGAACATACACGTGGATAATATCCAGAAGCACCATTTATTATTTTTTTAATACTTTTATTAATGGCTTGTGGTCGGGACGCAAAGCATGCTCATGAAATCTGCTAATGCCATGCTGTTGATTGGGGGGGTATTATTGATATGGAGGGCCACCATATAAAGGGATTGGAGGATTGATGGTAATAAGGTCCCATTGTAGTAGTTAAACTTAGAGGGGTAGGGGAAAGAAGGTCCCTCACTATATATGATAGGAGGATATGGATGGTGGTAGTATGACTCTCTTGTCCATGTTATCTGCAATGCATAGGGTTTCTTGAATGGAAAGCATTAACAGAAGGTGCTATTGAGATCTTGCTTTGCATACTTATCATCTGTGTCCAGGAGAGAGAAAGTCAAAGCAGACCCTAGAGATGGGTTTTTGGATGACTAGAGGCAGAAAGCCACCTCATGATAAGAGTGCTTGGCAAGTTCAGCCTGGTAGAATTAAACAAGCTAGCTCTTCCTTCACCTGTATAAAATATGAGGAGTTTAAATGCCAAAGAAGAGGAAGAGCTGCTTTAAGCAGAACTTGTGGCTTAAGAGAATTCTAAACATTAGAGCAGTTAAGTGTGTGTGGCAAGTTTTTTTATGGGTAGGCAATTTTAAATTATTTTTTTTATCCCTGTTCTTGTGGCTTTTTTATTGAGCTGTTCCAAGAGTTATCATCCCTTAAGATAAAGTTTGACAAGGACACAATTTAATGCTCCTGCTTGTAGGAGTGGGGAACTAGAACTGATGACTCAAAAGGTTTTTCCCCGCCCTGTGGGGTGTGTGCTAGGCATTGCATGGTTAGACAAGTCCTCCATACCTGTTTGATGTTGAATATACATGAACGCTGGAAAAAAAAACAAACAGTTGGAGACAGCATGCAAGTCTTCAGCCAGACTTTTAGCTGTCTGTGAACAGATTCTATCATTAAAATTTGGCAAATTTCTCATAAGCCAGGCCAGAGATGCAAGTGTTGTGGTAGGAATTTATTCTAGATACAAAAAAATAATACTAATAATTGTGCCCAGATCTTCCTAATTTATTTGTGACTGTGTATCTTCTAACTACACATAGCAGTTTTATTCCCAAGTTCTTCATAGCAGATTGCTGTAAGTGAACTGAAATATCTTTTTTTAGTATCTTTTTTTTTATCCTTAAGTGCTCATAATTAATTAAAATACTCTTAGCTTATGGGTAGCTATAGATTTAGTCAGGAATAAAATCTTACCCTTTCCTTGTAAGTAAGTACCCAATGCAGTGTACTTGATACCAGGAGGAATATACTCTGGTGCAAAATGGGACTGTCAGGAAGCTTCATTTGCCAAATGTGATAACTCCCACACAGCTGCAAAAGGAAGGTGGAGGATTCTATTAATAAGTGTAAAGAGTATTTCACAGATGACTGAAGTTATAAGAGACTGAGCTCACAATTTTGCAAAATCCTGATTTACTACACGAGCTGAGTAAGCGTTTCTGAGGGCTATTTGTTCTGGGATGTTAGCTGCTGCAGAGAAGTCAAGGGTGTTAACTGT